TATATATATATATATATATATATATACATTGCATGCAAAGACTATTTTATTTCCTTAACTTTAGATTACAATGTTATCAAAAATTGACTTTCTCTAGTACATGTATTTTATATGCTTTATACTTGCTAGAAAGGGATTTATTTTACTCTTTATTATATAGTATTATTACATAGATTATTTTATTTTTCAATTCTCTTTTCCCTACTGTCAAACAAAATTATAAAGATAATCTTCCAGGGGAATAATTTTATCCAACTAATTTAAATATAATATGCTCTAATTTTTCTATTAGCAAAAATATATTCACCAATTTCCATATCTGAATGCTGTCAATGTGAATAAGTATATTTTCTTTTAAGTAGATTAAATAATTTTTAATAGGGGTCAAGATTACTTGTTAACAAGCAAATGCATTGTAAATTGTGAATATTTCAATTTGTTTATTCAGTTAGAAACCTTTAGATTATTATGCAACTCTTTAGGATTAAGACTTGTTGGTGTAGCAAGTTACAGGCTTTAAATATTGATTTTTGTCTCTATATCTGAAGTTTTTTGGGGGGTTTTTTAACCTATATCTCTCTTAATTTTTTTATTTTTTGTGTATCTTGTATATTAAACAGAGTTGCTAACATGTTACATTTCTTCTCAGCTCTTTGCTTATCCAAGGTGGCTGGAAAAAATATACACTCATTAAAATAATTACTTTTTGACAGAGTATAGGATGCACATTTTATTACATTCTGCCTCCAACAAAAGAAAAAAGGACTGAAAAAAAAAAAAAGAAGAAATCATCCTGTAACTTATATGCAAAGATGATGCTTTCTATAACCTAGTATTTAGTTTTTAATACTGTAGACAAAAATATTTCAAGAATATTCTCTACTGAAAAGGCAGAACATTTTAAGTACTATGTCTCTCATCAAATACTCTATGATGTTGAACTTGTGACTACACACACACACACAATTTTAGTATGATACATTGTTTTTGTAGTTATAAAATGTGCTTCTATTTTAATTCTATAATTCATTTATATTTCATCTGCATTTTCCAGTAATCTTGGGATGTATTTATTTATTTTTTAAATCTTTAAACCAAAGTCATACTTGAATGGCTTTTTCTTTTTGTGGTTGTCATTATTGCCATGGTTCACCATATGCTTTGCATTAGAATTTTATAGCTTTGCCATATTGATGCTGAATGTATGTAAGCATCTTCATGTTGATAGAAGCTTTTGACATTGTGGTTGCAGTAATAGATATTCTTTTTATAGTTTTTAAAATGTCCTTTGAAATATTAATTGTATATAAAATGTATATATGAGTAAACAATGTAAAAAATCAATCAACATTTAATAATCATGTATTGGTAAACTGATTATTATGAATAATTTACATAGGATATAAAATCTCCATGTATAGAATACTTGTAGGTACACAAGTAAATGATGAATTTACATGAATTTTGAATGTTCATGTTGCTAGGAGATATGCCAAGATTATTAATTAGGTATGAAGTTTTTAATCATTGCTATCTATATAATGCATTAAGTTCAGCTTTCATTTAATTGGCAAATGTAATTTAATCTGATCATTGGTTAATTATGAGAATAATTGACATATCCCAGGAATTCCTTTTCAAGATAGCTACTTAAAGTTCAGAAGAAAACTGGAATTGATTGTATATTTAAGTTGAAATTGAACTTAATGGGAGATTAAATAGTTGAGTAACTGAAATAATATCCAATTCTTTTAAATGTTTAATTCTTTGAATTGTTGAAATGGCTTGGTTGTATAGATGTTGGTATAATCTTTAGGAGCAGAAAACTTCAATTTTTTATTAAAGATAAAAGTAGATTTAACTTACCTGAATTTGTTTTCTTAAAGATAAAAGCAGATTTGGTTCTTTGACAAATTTGTTTTAATAAATACAACAAAATAGATTTAATTTGTTTTAATACAGTGGATGTTATTTTAATTATGCAAGTTGTAAATATGTCAAACAAAACAGGTGGGCAGCATATGTAATGATTATTTGAAGTTTTTTCTCCATTTTTTTGTTTTTTTTATTTAATCTTAATACAATTTGTATTTGTCTGCTTTGAATAGTTTTGCTTTAATCAAATGTTATGGAAGAATCAATTGATGGGCATTCTCTTCTATGTATTGCAAAACATCTTTTGTATTTCTGAATATTCTCATTCCTGAGTGATGTTATTTTGTACCCATTTTTCATTTTCCTTGCATTTAAAGTAAGATAAATTTAATTATAAATGATCATATCAATATAAGCTATTTTGAGAGTGGATTTTCAATTTAATAATTCCAAGAATTCTAAAAGAATATTAAATATTTTTCTTAGATATTGCCATCTTATTTTTAAGAAATTTAACAAATGTCTTGAAAGCAAATTGCATCAACTACACAGTGGTTTGATGTTATAACACAAAATTGAAGATTTTATTATCAATTTTATGTGCTACACTTTGTACAAAGATAATTTAATACAAAAAAATTATTCTATATTTCCATTTGCAATTTTTTTTTTTTTTTTACCAGAAATATATATATGAACCTTATTGGAAATATAAAAGTAATTGAATAAACAGAAGAAATGTAAAAGCTAAAGAAATTATCTCCAAAATTTTCTCATCCTAAAATAAACTTTAACTTTTTTATTTGTGATAAAAGCATTTATATAATTAAGCTAACATGTATACAATATCTTGTCAAAGTCTTGAATTTAAGATGTCTATATGTATACTAGAAGTCAAAACATTATGATAAAAACTGTAATATGATGATGTTTTGACAGTGTTTGTTATATCTTGTATTTTATGTACCCATACTGGAGAAAAATATTTTACACATTTTCTCAATGCTGACTTTTTACATTATTACATTAATATCCCTACAGTTTAGGCTAGAATGGAAATGTTGTCAACAAGAATGAGCATGTCAATTCCTTGTACAAAATCTCTGACAAGTGATTGGATTCTTAAAAAATGAAATCTAATATAAATTGTTCTGATTCCTTTCCTGAAATATAGAGTTGATAACTTCTGATATAAAACTAACATTATGCAAATAGTTCTGTTTTAATATATACCAATGCTAAACATTATTATTCTCCGAAGAAATAGGGTCAGTATTGAATGTTTTCCTTTATTAGTTGATTTATAAATTTTCATTGGAAATATGGTAAGTCAGTGGTCTTTGATTTATTCCAGATTTTTAATCACAGACAAATTTACCGACCTTTGATGAAAAACTATTTCTTTTAAGTGGTGTTTTGGTATTTTTCATTGGCTTTGTAAATGTCTTGGTATTGTTTATAAGATATGAATTATTGGTACCTTACAGGTATTGGTATATTATTATCATCTATTTTTTGCTGTTAATTTAATGCAAGCTGAAAGATGTTTCAGACGTTTGAAACATTTTTATACAAAGATTTTATTAAATTTTTATTATAAATTAGTTTGCAATCAAAACACGCTACAAAAGATGGAATATTTTGTCAACATTTTTATTTATAACTTTATTATTCATTAAATAAAACATTATTTAAAACAATTACTATCTAAAAGAAAATTTTAAAATATATTTAATGATAAAGAAAACCAAAACTTAGATAAGTGTACATTTTTTTTTCATTCACTTTGTTTTTGACAATTTATTCTTTCTCTAATCAGTAAAGAATTCAATTTTTGATTTTCCTACACTTCAAAAATGCTAATAATTAAAATATGTATTTATTGTACAATGATTAGTTTAACAACAAAAAAAAAGCATGCCTAATTTATTGCATGCAATCAGTTGGACTTTGTTTCACAAGTATTTTGTGAAGGATACATGTCTTGGTACCTCAGCTACTTAATATTCAATGAGTAAACTCTTAGCATATGTACTAAGACATTACTAAAATGCATTAAAATATAAAATTACATGTCACATATGATAAACTATTAAGAGCAAGAGCTCATGTGGATTTAAATATTTAAAAGGATATCCTTAAAATACATTTTCATACTGCAAGCTATAATCCTCTAGTTTTTTAGGAATACTCCTTTATAAAAATATGCAACATGATTATCACCATGAAGTAAGAAACACTAAGTTGGCCAAGATATAAAATACATGCTGGTAGATATGAATGATAAAACTATATTTATTTGATGTCACAGCTTTACATATTAGACACACACATTCATTGTATATGAAAAGAACTAAAAGAATTTTTTAAAAATCAATGCTGAATATCTAAAATGTATATTTTATATATTAGTGTGTAAAGAAAAATGTCTATACATTCTGCAATTTTAATAAATCACCATTTATTTTAGCACAAGCAAATCTAGATAAAAATATAAATTTTAATTTTTTAGCAAATTTCTCTTACTTGATTTGAAAATCTACTTGTGTGTGTATATATATATATATATATGTGTGTGTATATGTGTATATATATATATATATATATATATATATATATATATATTAATAAAAATGGCTTTTAAATATATTGATTTTTGCTGACTCTTTCTAGTTTGTTTCGATGTATATTTCTAATATATAATCTGTTTCTATGAGTATATCTCATAAACATGATTTTGTGTAAGCTTTGATTGAATACTATTCTGTAATGTTTAATTTTCCATATTTGTTTTAATGTGTTTAAATTGTTTTTAATTTCTAATTGAATTTGATGCTTAGCATGACATCAAAGATTTGTTAGTATTCATGCTTACAGTCATAATAGACAATGTGAAAAAGATGCAAGAAATTATACCAGATGGTTCCATTTGTTTTTGTTATAATTTTAACAAAAAGCAAAACCAAAATGTATCTGCCAATCATGAGAAACATTTTGGTCCTTCAGCATCTCAAAATTATTGTCTATTTATTATGATTCAAAATTATTTTTGATGACTGCTTAAACTTCTTTCTTATCTAACTTTTTATAATGTCTGTACTTAATTTTCCCACTATTTTCTTCAGGCTCATCATCTGCGTTGCCTAAATGATTTCATTGAAGCCCAGATGAATTATTATGCCCAATGTCACCAATACATGGTGGATCTGCGCAAACAAATGGGCAGGTAAGGTTCTCTTTTTCTTTACAATAATGTTGTTCAATATTGTTTTCATATTTTCATGGTTTGTTTATATTTTTTTTTTTTTTTTTTTTTTAAATTAATGACTCATAACTATTTGCCATCCTCCTGATTTGCTCTTCAGTCATGAAATTCTTTTAACAATTATATTTTGGCAAATACAAAAAGGTTACATATGTATTTCTCCTGTGTAGGTTACAATTTATTCATAATTATTGCTATTATATTATAGCAAAATGGTGTAACCAGAGGAGCCAAATTAACATTATTCAATCTGGTCAGTTAAGGTTATATATATTCTTATAATTTTTTTAAAAGTTCTTTCCTATCTGTTAGTATTCAGAATAAAACCATTTGACAATACAGATGCTTTTTATACACTTTGCACGGTTACTTAACATATTTAGGTAAATAACACACTATATATATATATATATATATATATATATATATATATATATATATATATATACACGAGAGAGCTGTTTCAACTATTAAAATTATTTCAATTCTTAGAAAGGATTTTCATCAATTTCAAATTTTCTTTTACAAAAATGTATAGATGCTGTTTATTATACTCTTAGTTTTCATTTTTCTTCACATAAATATGGATCCTGATCAGGAATGGTTATTGTTCTTAGTTTCTCAAGTTAATTTTCAGCAGTTTAACTAATTGTTATGATAGAAAAATTTCAAACTGAAGGAAATTGTAACACATATTCTACGCTTAAGAATAACCTTTTGGAGTTTCCCAGTTGCTTTTTAAAATGGCAAACAGGAGAGTTGGTAAGCATTCTAAGTATTTTAATTTAATTATTTTTTTTATAATTGCAATAACAAAGGCTGGAAGAAATTTTATTTGGTACATTTTTCCTTTTCATCCTAAAAACAAATATTCTATCATATATCAATTTCTCTGCATTACTATGACAATGTATAATATTGTAACTAAACAAAATTTTCATAAATGACCTTACAAAAAACTAATTATTTTCTCAATATTATGTTCAATAGAGCATAGTGGTATGGCTGAAACCTGAAATAGATTTCCCTATTTATATAATGTTTTATTATCGAGGTTGTATCATTAACTTGTAATTAATTATAACCTGCTTTCCAGCCACTGTTTGACATTTTTTGCATGCAAAAATTGCATTATTACATCTTTTTCTATCTTTAACTTGTCCTTTCTGTGACCAAACTAAAAAAAGGTTTTGAATCATTTAAATTGTTGTTCATTTAATTTTTTAAATTTTCCATTGATTTGTTTTCATTTTTAAAATAAAATTGTGAGTTGCTTCAATATTGCACTTCATTCATTTGAAGTTTTCAAAATTGAATATTCTTCAACAGAATTTCAAATTTTAATATGCACACCAACAAGTGCTTTATAAATAAATGATATTTTGTTAATGGATTAATTGGTAATGACAGCTTTTCTCCATAATTTGTGAAGATAATATAAAATTCACTATGGTTCTCAAATTGTTATATAAAATTGTTTCTACACTTTTAAGTTATCAATAGCTTTCTTTCTGAAGTTTGGAATTGAAATTATTTAAAGGATCAATTTATTACTACACAGTGATATGTGGAGAGGTGGATAATGACTTGTATAAATTCTTATATTTAAGGGGAAACTACTCTTTACACTGTAAAGTGGACCTTTTTTATTACTATTGCTAATTGATTTAAATTATTTAATTTAAGCCAACAGTAGATTTTAATGAGTTACGAGTAAAAAGGAAATGTTGTTGGAACTGGCTTTAAATTTTGTCAAAATATGCTCACAAGAAGCTGAAAATTATCATTTTTCATTGTACTTACCAATATTGTATAATTTATAATTGAGAAAGAGGCCAAGAATAAAATCCCAAATCAACCTATATACTTTATTGGCCAAATTCTTTCTCTATTTTACTTTTGAAAGAAAAGTGATAAATATTTCTCAAGATTTATATACATTTATTAGAAGTAAATAAGTTTGCCTATCACCTGTCCACTACTCTTTCCATGTTTATTGTTGAGGTTTATCGCTTGTTTCTTATTTAGTTATGTAGTTTAACAGTTTCTTTCCTCTATAGTCTTAATGATTTATCTGTCTTAACTTTTTGGGGATCTGAATGATCAAAGGTTATGACATTTCATTGTGTGCATACCAGGTTAGTAGTTTTCTGGTAGTAAGGCACCTAAACAAGCATTTAGAGAGGCTGCTCTTGTCAACAATCGCATAATATCAGAGTATTTACAGTGCCATGTCATGCATGGATAGATGTCTCAGAATGTACACCCAGTGTACAACTCCAAGACCACATTATGGCTTATAATTAACCTTCTGGCCAGTTTTTGTTGCCATAGACTATGGGCAATTGGCTTTTTTCTCCTTAAAACATAATTTTGTTCTTTTCTTGTTGTCTCACTTTAATGTTTTCTTTTTCTCATAGTCTCTCACACTTACTAATCCCTTGTGTCTTAGTGGCTTCATGTCCTTGCTTGGAGTGAAATATTTTTTTTAAAATGTGCAGTTTCTTTAGGTTGAATGTTTTCTCTTTATAGAAAATGTTCGAACTTTTATAAAAAAATACATTAAATACAAAATGAGTACAAGTAATTTTAAAATTTTATATTCTCATTACATTTGATTTCAAAAAGTTTTCTTATTAGATTTGATATATGAAGTCCAATTAATTTTTCTTTTAATATTTTAGCACATCTCAGGTTAATACTAACCAAATATTTTTTCCAACATTCCTATAATTTTTTATAAATTGTCATTTATTTAAAAAATATTAATTTTGCAGGCAATACAAAAAAGATAATGTAGTGAAAAATATTCCTTTTTAGCTTTTACTGATGTTTTCAGATGTTATTTATAACTGCAATTTGATGGATTATAGTTACATTTCACTTCCCATTTTATTTGATTATACATTTTTTCATTTTTTTTTTTTTTTTATTTCTAGTGGGGTGCTATTTTAAAATTTAATTTTACTTAGATATTTAGAAAATTTATAATTGTAACATCATTTTTATTATATTTAAAAATGGGTAACTTTTACAAGTATTCTACCTGTGTATAATACCTGTATTTATTCAACTGTACTTTATTCTAGGTTGGTTTAAAAGATAACTTTTTCAAGAGCTTTCTAATTAGGTCTAACTCCTAATTAATGAAGAAAAATGAATATTAGAAAAAATATTAGCTTATCAAATTTTATTTTTGTAACATTCTTTTTTTCTGAAATAACAACTAGGCAACTACATTAAGAAAAGTAAACATTGTTATTCATTTTGTTTTCTATACAAAAATTATATATTGCTTGACAATCTTCAGTTATGTTTGTCAGATGGAAAGATCAGTTGTGTACTATGAAAGCAACTCTCTATTTTGTTTTTATGTATTTTTTAACGTTTTTGTTTGTTTTCTCACTGTTATTAATTGTTATGAAATGAATGCTTGTTGCTGTCTATTATCCTTCATTTCAATAATGTAGCCATATTTCAATTAAATAGACTATTATTGAATCTTCTAGCATAAAAATGCAATAATTAAGTCTCAGTTATTAGTTAAAATTCTTTTAGTAGATTTGTGGAGTCTAAAAGATACAAATATTTGTCAAAACATTTTAATTAATACTCATTAAAATGATTCAACTAACAATAGTTATTCTCAGGAAGTTAGCAAAAATTAAATCTCTTTTTCGCCTTTATTAAAGTAAAGATAATTTTCATGAATATGAATCTCAACTGATTATTAGAATTTTTATTACATGGTGAAATGGATGCAAATATCTTATTTTCATTTAATATCTTAGTCTAATACATACATATATATAATAGACTATTATTCTGAATTCTAGTACAAGTTAACTTTCATCTTTTCACCATTTTTACTTGTAGTTTAAGTTTGTTTAAATATAGCAAATCTTCATCATGCATTTCATATTATTCATTTGAAAAAAGTATGGATTATTTTATTTATAAAAAGTAGATGTTCATTTTACTACCTTCCTATTGATTTTTTTTTAAATTAAGTTTTCAAATTATATGTTAACTGAAATTAACACATCAAAACATTTTGTTATTTTATAGAAATGGTTTAAATTTGAAAATTCCTGACATTAAATTGTATATAATACTTTAAATATTTTTTAGTATTACTTTGATTTAAATATTCAAATTTAAAAAGTGTTTAATTTTGTCTATAAAACAAAGAATTAATGTTATTAATTTCATTACAAATAGGCAGTTTTGTTTTATAAAATAGACAAGTAGATTTGACTTAGCTCTAACTGAATAGAAAATATTCAAAAATAAATTTCATTATTGAATTTGCTTAGATTATAAGTTAATTAAAATTTTATAAATTACCATGATCAATTCTTGAAATTTGTCATAATGAGTAACCTTGTTTTTTTTTTTCTTTTAATTTGAAAACAACTATCAAATAACAATGGAAATCAAATATCAAAGGAACAATAATTTTTTTTATGAGCAACATAGAAAACAATTTATTGCCAGGTTTTAGTGACATAGTAAAACTTAAGACTATGGTTGCCGCATAAAATGAAATTTTAATTTTTTTTTTCTTGTGTGATTTTTGGTATGTTTCCCAACAGAATCCTAAAACAGTTTTTAGTAATTAAACATTGATTCATTGTTTTTAATAAAAGGATGATTTTTATTTAGTATTGTTTTATAAATTCAGTAAAACCGAGAAATCCTGAAAATGTTTTTGCATTAGAAAAAATAATCTAAATCTTTAATGTTTAATTTAATTGTATCTCTCTTTACTGTTTATTTTATTGTTGTATTATGATTATTACTATCATTAATGATATTTATTTTTCTGATTGTCATTTGTATATTGTTGACATCTTTTATGTTGTGCGCATCATTGTGTCAAATTGGATGCCAATAAGATTTCATTGACTCCCTGTTCCTGTTTCAGCATCCCTGCTGATAACTGATTCAGTGCTCATCCCTGTGTAAGATGTAGCCACCTCTTCCTATTCCTCTTCCTCCTCCTCAGTAACATTGGTATGCTATGTGTCCTTGTTGGTTTATTCTAGACAAAATCCTGCACCCAACTGAGCTTATATATTTGGCTACCTACATTCTCTTCTCTATCTCTGTCTATCTAGAAAGCTAGCTACTAGCCAAGCTGCCTATTATGGTAGTTAGGATTCTGCCCTGCATTTCATTGCTTCTATTAAACTATACCTCTTCTTTTTTTTTTTTTTTTTTTTTTTTTTTTTTTTTTTTTTTTTTTTTTTTTTTTAACATATTTTTGTATTATTTTCCTTTTCAAGAAAAATAATTTTCATTAATATTTTTACTTTAGCTCATTCATTTTTAAACATTCTAAATTCTCTCCCCACTGATATGTTATCATCTGACATGTTTACTATCATTTTTAAATCCTTTTCATTTTGCATGCTTTTTATCAAATTTTCCTAGTTATTTTTTACCTTCTTCATACTGACTTATTTAAAACATTAGCAATTTTAAATTTAGTCTGTTTTTTTATGAATGTTCAGTTTAGAAATGTTAAGTAAAATTGATTAAATGAATACAGTAATGTGGATTAATTTAGAAGTGAATTAAGTAACAATTATAACCTAGAATAGTGCCAAGGCTATTTTTAAGGTCACCAAAAACAAATATCTAAAAATAAAATTCTATATTGTGAAATTTAAACTTTTTCTAATTGTGAAATTTAAAATTTGCACAAAATTACCTTGGAAAAGTTCTAGATTGCTTTTATCATTATAAAAATTCATAACTAGAGTTTTGTCTTGTCTGACTTCAATCAAGCTATGCCATAAAGTTTTAAATAAGTCTGTTTACAGTATGAGGTATGGAAAAAATAAAAAGGACCCTTACTCTTTTAATAGACCCATCTGACACATTCCAATTGTGGGCAAGAGGAAGATTTTTTTTTCTGCAATAAGATTAATAATAATAGACACAACTTCATATCTTTTCAACTGTTTATTCACCATTTTGAAATCATTAATCTCAATCATAACTTCCTTCTCTTCCATCTTCTTGCTACGAATATATCACCATTCAAAATGTTCTTTCATTTACTATGTACTTTCTGGTTATGTTCTAGTTAAAATAATAGTGTGTATACAGTTAAATTCTTTAAATGAAAAATAGGAAGTTTTGATATCACTTTGTTCCCTTGATAAACAAAAAGGTGATGTTATTTCTGAAATGCTGCTTATCTGTTTGTAATATTCAGATTATTCTATAGTAATTTTTGAAATAGTCTGAATTATTGTTGGAAGTTTACTCTTAAGTTTTAATAAATTTGTAAATTTTAAACTTGTGAAATATAGCTTGCTATTGTGGGCTTTGTAACCTCTTTTTCGACCTGTGTTCCATATTTTAATATAAACCCTAATATAATTTCAGTAATCAGATTTAATTGTAAGTTTAGGTTAATGTGTGTCAAATAAGGATCAAATTATATCTAGATCAATAATTTCTTTTTATTAGTCTACATGTTTACTGTTAAAAAGCACTACATTGGTGTTGATCATCTGGGCATATAGTGGGGTTGTATATCTATAATAATTCAATATTTTATTTCTGATTTAACAACTTAAACTCAGGTTAAACTGAGCTCTCTAGCCTTGGCTAACAGCTAGTCTAGGAGAAAGACAACTCTGAACTCAAAATCCTGGAGAATACAACAAGAAACCACTCCCAAGAACTCACAGCAATTTACAAATAAAGCAATGAATAACTATGGTCACCAATGACTTGAAAGGACATGCTATTTTAAAAAAATGATTTAAAACTAAATCTTTTCACTTTTTGAATCATTAAGTGTCTCCGATAATCTAGCAACAAAACTATTATTATTATGATTATTTTTCATTCCATTTGTGCAACATGAAATATTTCTTGGTGTTTCTCTCTTCATTTCATTTTTCTTGCATTTATCAGCATCCAGCTGTAAGTGTACGAGGAAAAAGGACTCTGTGTCAATATAATACATGAAAATAATCAAAAGATACCAACTAAGATTCAGTGAACAACTTCCAACAATAATTTTATATGTAGAATTCATCAGTAAAAACTATAAGTCTTCAATCAAACTAATAGTCAACTTTCAAATTAAATTGACATCCTTAAAGCCTGAAGTATTTCTTTCCTTTTGGCCTGATTTTATAATTTTGAATAGTAAAATAAAATAAATTTCTCCCAGTATAACTGATATTGTTGCTGCTGCTGCTGCTGCTGTTGTTATTTCAATGTTTGTGATGTGGCAGAATTGTTGCTGGATCTGAAAGTAAATGAAAATTTATGAATGTGTAGTTTCATTATCAATTACCAATGTTGCTGCTTTCCAGAGCTAACAATTTCAATTCTGATGATATTTTTTTATCTTTTTCCTTTTATGTTGAAACAGAATCATTAAAGCATTCAAATATAATTCGTCTCTCTTCAAAAGTCGCCATCTTGAAATAGCCAAAAAAAAAATACAAAAACCTATAATAATAGGGTTGTATGAAAATATTTATATTGTGACAATTACTACCAGAAATTTCAAATTCCAGCTTTCCTCTTTGAATTTTACAATCCTGATCTTCCTTACCTAACACCTTTTCTTCTTCATTTGAGTTGTAATTATTTTTCATTCCATTTGTGAACTTAGGTTTAATAATCAAACTACTGAAGAACAGTTAGGTTATTTTTTTTTTTTTTAATGATTCAAGTCTTAGTTTTTGTTTTTTATTCAAATATAAAATTGTCAAAGTACAGGATATAGCGATACAATGGCTCTTGCTGTCTTCTGATTATAATATTAAATCAAAAGCAGGAATGAAATGATAATGTTCAAATATTTAAGAATATCTGTATTTTTGGAAAGTTAAATTCTCTATGATAAGCTCACTGATATTGCAGAATATTTTACATTTATATCTGATTATTTGAATTTTTTTTTATGCAACATCTGTCTTGAATCCCATTCATCTTCTGTCCTTTCTTCAATCCTTCTTATTCTCAGTCTTCTTTCACTTTCACTTCCTGTAAACCCCTGTGTACTAGTGGCATTACCATCTTGCTTGGGGTGAAATGATTCAAAAAATAAAAAGTAAAATGTTTTTACAAATGTTTTTCATGCTACAAAATCATTATAGATATTCATGTATCAAAAAAAATCTTTTTTTTATTCCTTCATCATTGTTTCAGTATTATTCCTACATCTCTCATTGAAATAATGTAGAAATTAGTATTTTCTTCTCTACTAAAATTTTTATAGTGACTACTAAAGAAACTAATAAGTTTTTTTTTTTTTTTTAATTTTTCATGCTGCAGTAGACTATTATTAAACACTGATTGTTCACACACAGATATTATATATAGCAAGGACAGTTAAAACTTAGATCAGCAAAATTAAACTAGCAATGAGTCCTTCTTTATGTAAATGCCACTTTCTAAATTCAATCCTTCATATTCACTTCATTTCATCTGCTTGTATTGGCATTTTAACAATCTGAGTAGGAAGTGAATTTTAGTAGATTCAACTCTGAATATTGCTTTCAAAAAATTTTTTTTAAATTCTTTTTTAATTAATAAATGAAAATGTTTATAATATTTATATTTAAATAACACCATTATCATAAAGTGACAAAGGAAAACTAATAAATTCTAATTGACCTTTTGCATTTTCCATTTTTATAATAAGTTTCTTATAGTATTCTCCTCTTGACGTTTATTCTATCAGATGGGTCTATCCAATGTTAGAAAAAGTTGCTTTTCTTCTTGGTGAAGGGTTTTCTTATGAATTTTGTTGATTATGGGAAAATCTTAGAATATTAACATTTTAATCAGCAAAAACACACACATATTTTATGACATTGATTTCATTCACTAAAAAGCTTCATAGATTTTGTATGTTTTTTTTTCCCAAATCTAAAATTGACTTGTAATTTTAATTGTTAAAAAGTAAATGTTTTTTTTTTTGTTTAATAAGCTGGTATCAAATCTACTCAAAATGTTAATTCTTTCAGGACAACATCTGCCGTTTTATGTAATAACATTTGAATAAATGTTTTATGTTTTTGTATCAGTTAAGGGTTAAGGCATTTCATGATTTACTATGAAAAACTTTGTCATAAAAGAACAAAGATGAAGATATTTATCTCAAGAAACTAAAGATAGTATGTAAACTTAGTTCTGATATGTTGATAACCCAATTACACCTTACTCAGAAACATTTTTTTTTTAATTAAATATTTGTTTAATTATACAATAATTCTTCTTGACTAATTTCTTCATCTTTGTTGTCTTATCACAATATTTTGGCCACTGTACTCTCAAGCCTTACTTAGATATGTTATATATGGTAACCTTCCAGTAATTAATTTCATTGTTCTCATTCCATCCTAGAGAATTTCAGAATTCATAACTCTCAGTTCTTATGCCAATCCAACCCTCCATTTTAGCTGATTGGTATATATTTCTGCACTAAATTACTCAGAGATTGAACTCCTTACTCCCAAAGATTAGTTTTACTACTGTTTCATTCTGTAGAACACCAAGCAAATGAATTTTCAATGTTTTAATTCTATTATGAAACTTTTCCTAATTTTATGTACACAGTTATTGATTATATTTTCTTTCAGTAAACTCTGAGCTAGCTGTGTAAAGTGAGACTACTTTTGAATACTAAAGTAAGCACTTCAACTCACTTGCATTTTCTCCAATATGGTACCGATGCAAGTGATTGAAGCTGATTTGCAATTGTCTTTCAAACTTATGCATCTGCTTCTGGTAACAGTTGCTGATATTATGCTTACAGAATGTTTATCTCTGTGGAGCATGTATTATGTTGAACATCTCTTATTGGTATATGGTTTTTCCAATGTGTTGAAAGCAATGTATGAGCTTTTCTTATAGCTGGTTGTATTAGAGTTGAAGATAAAATCTAGTAAATATTGAACTCTGG